AAATATAAGCTACGTATGCTTATTTGTGTGTTTTGTAATTAAGGCAGGCAGTACATCTTGAAGTGGTAGAAGATTTGTCAACAAAGGCATTTTTTTAAGTGCATTGAAACGATTTATTGCAAGAAGAGGGAAAACCATTTGAGATTTATAGTGACTGCGGTACTAACTTTAAAGGTGCAGACAAAGAAATCAGAAAATGTTTTTTGCAATGTAAGCAAAATCAAGAAATTCACAAATTTTTGTCTTTAGAGGAAATAAAATGGATATTCAACCCGCCATCACCTCCCCATTTTGGTGGACTATGGGAATCGGCAGTAAAGTCAATGAAATTACATCTAAAAAGGACTGTTGGTGATACTGTGCTGACCTATCCGGAATTTCAGACCTTGATAGCGCAGGTTGAGGCTTGTCTCAACTCTAGGCCATTGTGTCCAACTTCGGCTGATCCAAATGATTTAACTGCATTAACATCTGGTCATTTCCTAATAGGAACGTCTTTAACTGCCATACCTGAACCAGACCTAAATTATAGTTCCTTCAATCACATTGACAGATGGCATGTGAGACAGTTTATTTTTCAGCACTTCTGGAAAAGATGGAGTCGAGAATACCTGTCTCAGCTTCAACAAAGACCTAAATGGCAAAAATGTCAAAACAATTTAGAAGTCAATGACTTAGTCCTCATCAAAGAAGACAACCTTCCGCCTCTTAAATGGAGGTTAGGGAGAATAATTGCTGTTCATCCGGGCTCAGATCAAAGAGTCAGAGTTGCTAGTATTAAAAATGGTCATGGTGTCATTAAAACGACCAGTCGTGAAATTGGTCCTCTTCCTATTCAGACTAAAAAACTATGAACTGCTTCGCATATAATATTTTGTATTATTTTTTCTTATGTTTATCTTTATTACGGACTAAGAAGTTTCAAAATGCTCCAACTATTGAAATCCCCTGGGGTTTCAACGAGGGCCAGGATGTTTATGTGAGTATCGTTTGCTTCATTTTATTGTTGCAAACAGCGTAAATTCCTTTTGTTTTTCTTCTTTTAGTTTTGAACTTTATGTGTGGCAACAAGATTATTGATTGATAGAATTGTGTTTGTGACAGCCATGTAGAATGGCTCGCTTATTTTGTATCAATTATTTCGCATCGCTGACAAGTGTAATTTAATAAAAGTGTAGGAATACAGTCCATTTGTTGATTGATTATTGTTTGTGAAACATATTAAGTTTAAGAACACGAGTTATACATAAAGCAGCAAAACGTTTTAGAATTTTTGACTACCTAAGGGTCTGATTTTACGCCTAAAGGAATGATGATTAGTTACCAGAGGTATAACGAAACATTAGAAATACTCAGATTAAGCATTTATGAAATACGATCTGAAATAAGAACGTGTCGAGTCATGACAATGCAAGCCCCTATAACAGTAAAAAAGGATTAAAACAATAACGAATCATAAATTATTACTTATTTCACAGCCTTCTTACAAACCAGGTTTGACAGCATGATATTTTTAGTTATTCCAGAATTAAAACAGACGTTGAAAATTCAATGTATTTCTCCTACGGTACTTTTATTCAAAATTAGATAACCAGAAAGTAAACAAACCATATTCTTCGTTTACTAACGTAATCAAGAAATAGATCCCGCATCAGAAAAAATATTTTGCAAACGCAGAATCTCTTTAAATCCCGAGATGTATTTTCATAAAGTATATTTGAATAAGAGATGCAGTATAATGTTTAAGAGATTTAACTAATTTAATTGTGACATCATTACATTATTTTATCTGTTCATAAACATTTTTTTTAATAAAATTGGAGACATTTGCCTGCAATTTTTAGAACCACAAATAAAGGAATCCCGTGAAAAAATTCCATTCCTTAAAGGTTTTTATACAAGAGTCAGTTAAGGGAAGAATAAAGAATAACCATCTGTGCTATGAGCGTTGCTTTCGCGCCTTTCTGTGGGAAAGCCCGACCTTTGCACTTTTCGCTTCTATTGAATGCATATTACCGCATCAAGAGAAAGTGAATCCAGAACTCAAATTCCCGACATAGTTTTTGACCAACAATTGTCGTATTTTGCAGGCTAATGGAAGCCATTATTTAAAACAGTAAACAAAGGCCATGGAGGTTTCTAATGCTTTTAAAAGAATAAAGCTCTTGCCCAATCTTCACAGCATAGTTTGCAGCAAGTGAAGTGAGACGCGTCCAGACAAAGACGTGACAAAAAAACAATAGGACCGAAAAATGTTGCGTATCGCAAGAAATGTATTTTTCATGCATCTCTTTACTGAAAGAGTTATCTAGTAACTGCCGCGATTTGAATTTCTTTCGACCCAGTAGATTGAAAAATGATGCATTTTATTGTTGTATTTTTCTTTCTTTCTCTCTTTTACCAAGCAGCTATGATTTTGTAGTCGAAATGCCGATTTCTCCATCAAAGTTCACACACTGTCCTTTCGTCACAGTTCAATAAACTTAACTATTGCTCTGTCGACTCAGAATTTAAACGTGTTTAAGGAGAGAATCATTCATTGCAAAATACGAGTTATAAGCAGGAGGGTAAATTTTATCTCAAAATTTCAGGAAGTTTCGCAAGAATCAAACTTTTCCATGGATTATTTGAGATCTTGAGAAGCAAATATCCGGTCATCTCGCGAGAAACGAATGACCTAACTGTTTATAATTTATGTTTATTTGCTTAAAAGGGATGTCTTCGTGAAGGATTTACCTAGCAAAAGTGCCACTTGTAGATGTTAAATTTAAGGAAGACCGTTAAAATCCGATGAAGAAGCTAATCTCGATTCCAGTGCTTAGTGGTCTAAGTCAACTGGCCATTGATGGACTTGTGAAAGGCATTCTGCAGGGTAATTTTTCCTCCAAAATCCAAATCAGGAATTTTATTTTACCATTTAAGATTATAAGTCCATCGATGTTCTGCTTATGCTTATTTTTGAAATATGGGAGGGAAAAATAAAAGATGCTCCGTTCTTTTAAACTAAAGAACGCCATTTTTAGCTTAGAGAAACGAACTTTATCTTTCAGTGCTCATCAATTTTATGAACACTAAACTATCACTATATAAATTAAGAGTAGCAAAAGTATTACATCATAATACACATTGTTTTAAAAAAGGAGAACCTGTGAATGTTGTATCAAAAGAAGTTTGGTTAAATGAAAGTCTTAACATCAGGTTGAGACGTTGATAACGTTGCTGAAATCTAAATGGTAGCAGAGGTATCAGTTTTAAAAAAGCATATTAGTGTTGCGTTCTGCGGGTTCGTGGATTTAGAGTAATTGATGGTAACACTTGATGAAAATCAAAACACAATTTATTCGCCAATATTACAAAGGACAGTTCCAAAGACATGTTTGCGGTCTTCGAGAAACTACGATAAACACGCTGAAGCAATCAACAGCATAGCCTTCAGGCTATAACGGCGAAAACAGCTTCACGGAAAATCACTAAAGTACAGCTCCCGACTCAGTCAATCGCTCTCAAGCTAATCTCCGGATTCAAGACACTCCTACTGTATTCAAGATACTACGGATCTGCTCGCACAGGAAGGATGTACATAGCTTTAACCTAACTTCGAGAATATGCTCGAGAAAACCGCTAAGAATGCGTTCTAGAATTTTCTCGCTCCGTCTATAGTGTATCACCAATTTTGCGATTTCGCGCCAAATCTCGCAACCCTGAATTTCCCTGCCACTTTATGGCAACCCTCACCCCGCTTTGCGGGAAAGCTATCTCACCGCAGCGGGCATTTCTCAACAATGTCTTGCTTGTTTAGTTACTTATTAGTTACGAATATGGTTCTGAGGCGTAAAATTATTCCGGAATTTCTTGATTTGCTTCCACTGATTTTGCCCTCTTTCCCTTCGGAGTTAAATTACCGTATAAAATATTTTAAGAAATTAGCAAAAAACTTATAATATTTCCAAAAATTGTTTAATCATTTTCTTTTAATTAGTAGCAGAAGTTCTAATATGTATAATATTTGTTTGTATAATTTTTATTATCTGTATTTGTGTAATATTTTATGCAGAACTTTTATTATTTTGGAATCCATTAATGCAATTCACAGTTGCCATTTGTATTTTATGTAAAGAACGGAAGCCTTTTCATGCAAATTTTCGAGCAACCCTTAACACTGGTCGGATACTAGTCAGTCAAAGAGGATTACGCTCAGTTTTGGTTGATAATATTTGCTTCTTAGGAAATTATAGTCTTCAGTTTGTATAAAATTTGAAGATGAAAGCGAATATGATGAAAAAATGAAAGCATAATTTCAGTAAGATATAAAAGGTAAATTATAATTATGTTAAAAAGTAAATTATAAATATGTTAAAAAGTAAATTATAAATATGTAAATTAGAAGGTTACACATTTTTGTGATTTAAATGTTAGTTATGTAAAATTTTTTAATTGTTAGTATTTTGTGATGAACGAAAAGTTTGAAAAGCCATCCTTGAAAAATCGTAATTATCACTTGGACTATTTTTCCAAATTGGACTCAAATTTTAATATGACTCAAAAAATTGTATTTAATTTCAAAAAGATAATATTCAAAATTTATATACTCTATCATTTAAAAATTATTTAGCTCAAAATTTCATGGTTTATATTTTTCTGCACTAACGAATTTTCTGTAAAAATGTTTTACCTTTTATTAAGTCTTTTCCCCTTAGGGACAAAGGAGATATGTAAGAAAAATATCTAAATAAAAATAGTAACTTTAATTTGCAACAGTGCTTGAAATCTCCATTATAATTTAATTAATCCTCTTTTTGTCTTAAAAATAGTAACTACTTATAATAAATCGCTTTAGACTTGTATCACTTCGAAATTAATCCATTTCATATGGTTCTAGCATAAGTTAATGGTTAATGACGTATAGATTTATGTAACGCTATAGCCAATTAATAATTTCAAATTTGGGAATCGAAACTTTTAACAGCCAGTAGGGAATAATATGAACTAAAACCGATTACCTCTGAAAGGGAATTTCCTCTTGAACACATTACATTCACTCTCTGCTTCTCTGGCTGGCTAGATTTCTGTCGGTGTCCTCGCCGTAACATCTTAAAAGTATAAAAACTTCTTCAAGATTCTTGCTTATTATGCCGTACTAATTATCAGTGATGCATCAGGAATGTTCATCTGCAACGAAACCAATGTTTTTCAAGATATAAAAGAATTGTTCCATTGACTGCGCTTGCAAGTATCTCATTCTTCTTTTAAAAATTGTTAAACACATACGTATATGAAAAGAGCTGGTGGACTTAACAGAAGTTGATGGAACCATAGCTATGAAAGCAGTTATTACTTTGTAGAGTCATTAGGTTAATTGGAAACAGGAGTCGTGAAAAATTAGCAAAGCCTTCACTGGGAATCGAACCGCAGACCTCTGGAATACGCGCCGGGAATCGAACCGCGGACCTCTGGAATACGCGCCCACGGGCAGACTACCATACCATGAAGGCATGCCAAGAAAGCAGGAGAAATAGCTTATAACTTTACATTCGGATTTCGCTTTCTTGATTGAAAGAAATAATTCCATAAATATAATCAATAGTAATTATATCTATTAAAAGAGGATTTTGTAGCATTTGAAAATAGTGTACAAAAATAATTCTTTAAATCGCTGACTATAAACTACGAACATAATTCCCTCTAAGATGCGAGGATACTATAGTTTTAGAAGTATATCAATAAATTGCTCAGAGAATTAATCTTTCTCTCACAATCAACTATAGTAAATATGCAAAGTAAGTAAACATTACAAGACATGGTCGCGCTACGAAACAATTGTTTGTACACAGATGAAGTCACGACAAAGAATACATAGTCTGCTCGTAATATTTGGAAACCGAACTATGATAAAAGTTGTGAAAAAAGAGTACGCACGCCACTGCTTAACCAAACAACAACACTACAAGCAAATGGCATTATAAAAATATTCACAAATTGTTATGCATGAGCATATCTTCTAATATTTACCTTAAATACATGAATCAGTTACAAATTAATCAATAGCACGTACAAGTATACTGTGATTATTAATCTACATTTTTTTTAATGTCTCACTACACAGGTCTTGGTGGAAAAACTTTTACTTTTGTGATTCGTGTCAAAGTTATATTATAATATATTAAATTGTATAATTGTATTACAATAATTATTATACTGATAATTTTGATTAAGCTTTCAGATAAAAATGTCTAAACGAACAATCGCAAGTTAAAAAGCAGAGATTTTCAGCAAAAAACTCGCATATCATTTAAAAAAGAATCGCTCTGATGGGTATTAATAGAAACTGATACACAATCTACATGTAAGAAAAGGCCATAAAATTACATTAAATGTTTCAATATGAGAATGAAACTGGAAATATTCTATGTACGCTTTGTGCAGATACAAAATCTTCGGGAGAAATATGTGGGAAAAAGATCGGATTCATAGAAATCAGATTATTCGAGGAGACATTTCAAAAATCACATACAGAAGCAGTAAATAAATTAAAAAGATTTGATAAAAAGGGGAATTAAAAAAAAATATTGGAAACTTTAGAGAAATGTCAATAAAAAATGAAAAACAAGAAAGTTCAAAATCAGATTATGATTTAGTGAAGAATCCTATAAGGTATTTTCTCCTTCCTTTCTGCATGCCTTCATGGTGTAACGGTAGCACATTCGACGTGTATTCGAGAGGTCCAGGTTCGAGCCCCGACGAGGGCATCGTTCATTTTTCATGTCTCCTGTTTCAAAAATCCTAATGACTCTACAGTGCTACACGAACTAAATATATAAACTAAAAATATATAAATGTCTACAGTAGATTAAGACAACTGAGATCAAATGAATCTTAATCAGACAAAGATCAATACAATTTAATAAGAAAAAAATGCAATTCAGATGAAATAAAATTAAATAAGAAATATCATTCTGAAAATCATTACAAGTGGGGGAATTGGAATCTTACTTTAAGTTACATGACTTTAAGTTGCACGAACCTGGTGGATGATGATTCTTCACCACCAGGATTTAGTGATTGGGTCTCCTAATTTCCAGTCGCTCTTTAAAAGGGGGAGTATATAAGGTATTTTCTCCTTCCTTTATGCATGCCTTTGTGGTGTAACAGTAGCACATTTGAAGCGTATCTGAGAGGTCCAGGCTCGAATTCCGGACCGGGCATCGCTCATTTTTCATGTCTCCTGTTCAAAAAGACTAATGACTCTATTTCTTCATCAGCAGGATTTAGTGATTGGGTCTCCTAATTCGAAGTCGCCCTTTAAAAAGGGGAAGTATGTGAAGTATTTTCTTCCTCTTTTCTGCTTGCCTTCATGGTATAACGGTAGCACACTCGGTGCGTATTCGAGAAGCTCGGGTTCGAGTCCTGCTGAGATCATTTACTCATTTTTCATGTCTTCTGCTTCGGGGAAAAAAAACTGTCTCTGAAATCTAATTGAAAACGTGACACTGAGAATGAAAGCCAATGAGTCAATTTGTTTCGTTTTTGACATACTACAGTGCATTTAAAATCTATTACACTGCCTCAAAATCGAGGAAGCAAAATTTGCTTGTTTGAATTTGTCGAATGAATAAGATTTACACCTATAAAAAGCGTTTTAATTAAGTGAGAAAAATCTAGTTTTCATACACTTTCTGTAGAAGAAAGCGCATATGTTTCCGTGCAAAAAGTATTAATTTTGTACTTTAAATAGTGTTTTGACAATGACACTGTATGCAGAACTGCATTTGGAGGTATGTTAAAAATTGTAATAGTATGTTGATCGTAGAAAAAAATTAAAAAATTTTCCAACGAAAATAATTTGGATATTATAAAAATTGTAATGTTTATAAGTGATGGATCAAATATTATGCTCAGGAAATAAAATGGAATAGCAGCTATTCTGAAAAGAAAAATATCACATTTAACAGAATGACTTTGTGTAGTATATATGGAAGATTTAGGATTAGATGATGCATGGAAAATTGTATCTCTTATGCTGGTTATAGAAAATGTACTCAGAATTATCTACACCGATGTTTTACAATGAAGAATTAACTAAGCAAAACATCATTTGTATCGTTAAATGAAGTTAGATGGTTATCCAGATATTTCACAGTTGGCTTTTTGTAGCACCTTTACTTTAGGTTCAACTTAACTTAGCTAACTTTATTACCATCAGCTAAAATTAATCATCACATGTACTCAACGAGTGAATTTTCACCACAACAGTTTCTAACTCTAAAAATAAACAGACACTGAAATAAGATAACTAAATTTGTTTTAACTCACCACATGTGAGGGTTAAACTGAAAATGTGGTCCACAAATTTACCAGTCACTTGGACCTTGTTTAAACATAAACTTCCTTAAACTTGCTATAAATTCAAACAATTTAATTTGATCTGACCAAGGGCTACAAGTTTCGCCTAAACCGATAGAGAAATTTAAACGTACAGCTTACCGACCTAAATCTATTCTTATCTTAAAACTATTTAATTCGAGCGAAACTTTATATAGCAAAGCGTTTTATTTAGCGTAAGCCCTCAGGCCGAAACTCTTGTATATAACTATGCGCAACTCTTCTAATTTTGCGCATAACTTAAATTGACAGTAAAACTGCTTGCCACTCAAATCTACAGAAACTCTGGAATGAGCGAACCTGGTGGGGAAGTAAGGCAGAAAGGAGAGATGTAAAATAAGTACCATTTTGCTAGTATAACTTTTTTACATAAATGCCACAGCTTAAGTAGAAAATTACGATATATTAACTGTTGTAAAAGTTAGATATCAGAATGCAATAGTCGCATTTTTAAACATTGTGAAAACATTTTGACTAACTCACAGTATTGAGCAGCAATATTTGCTGTGAAGGATGTATTAAACGAGGTTACTTCCTTCAAGCCTACTTGTAAAAATGCGTAGATTTAATGTAGGTATTTTCGCAGAGTGGGATTTAATACAAAGTGTGATTTAACAATTATTAATGCTCACCGATTTGTTACAATAAAAATTAACAAATTAAAAACTCAATACCTGGAACACGAAATATTTTGGAGTGACGCTGTAAAGTAATGGTATCAAAATGTTAATGATACATTAAAAACTGTAATTCGATTTATTGAACGTGTCTATTAGCACTTAAGAGCAGATTTCCTAACGAAGAATTAAAAGATCGGAAGCATTTGATAATGAAATTACTATAAATTCAGGAAACAATCTTGATTTCAGAAAGCAAAATATAATACAGCTTTCGCAAAAAATATTCAGAACTTATGATTAACAAAAACGTTGATATAATTAAAATATAGAACGAATATTCAGAATTGAAATTTATAATAGTAGGATTGCTCAAGATTTTTAACCATACATTAACTTTCGTCCAAACGTATTCCTGAATTTTTTTAACCTTTCTTTTTTATATAAAATTATGAGAAATTTTCAAGGATCTGACACAGATTGGAAATTGGGATTTTTCTGTTACATATTCCATCAAAATAAAATACAGAAACAGACCCGAAAATAAACACTACTGAACTTATGGGAATTAATGGTTAATGGTCATTTAAAAAGTTAAGAAAAAGGTTAATCAAAAATAAAATATAGTTATAAAGTATTTCTTCCGCCTTCTTAGCGAGCCTTCGTGGTGTAATGGTCTGCACGCTCAGCGCGTAATTGAGAGGTCCGCGGTTCGATTCCCGGCGAATATTTTTCATCTTTCCTTCTTCCAAAAAATTATAATGTCTCTACAGTGGCGCCCGAACTAAAAGGGTGTTGGATGATGATTCTCCGGATTCGCCGGGATTTGGCGATTGGGTTCCCTAAAAATCCCCTTTATAAAGTCGCCCTTTATAAAGGGGAGTATATAAGGTATTTCTCCCGCCTTCTTAGCATGCCTTCGTAGTGTGGTGGTCAGCACACTCAGCGCGTATTCCAGAGGTCCATGGTTCGATTCTCGGCGAAGACGTTGTTCATTTTCTATCTCTCCTGCTTCCAAATTACCTAATGTCTCTACAGTGGCACCCGAACTCAAAGGGTGACGGATGATGATTCTTCACACAAAGAATATGGCGATTAGATCCCCCAAAAAACTCAGTCGCTCTTTAAAAAGGGGAGTATTTAAGGTATTTCTC